GATAATTGTTAGGCTTTGACTCCTCTTATCTGTGATAAATCTATTATTCCAATTAATAGCGTAGGTCAATACAGAAGTGACGATCGTACACAGGCAATGCGTGGGTTTTGGTCATATCAGAGTACGCACAGACAGCGCTCCCTATCTAAGCATGAGTAAAGTGATCAAACTAGAGGCCTTTCACTGACGTACTAGATCCACAAGCAACAATTCAGCAATAGCAAGGCGAAATGGTTAGATGACAAACGAAGCTTTGAGTGGAATCATTGTAGATGTGTCATGAGAGGTGTTTATGAAGATGCGTACTCACTCTGCGTAATGAGTTAGTGTATAGATCATTGGAATGTCAATCGATTCGGTTAAAGAATATAGAACTTGGGTCTGTCACGTGTTTGGACTTAGCCTGTCCATAACATCCAGAGAATTGCATGTGACTTGGACAATTGGTGGTTCATTCGAGTTCACGAGAAACATGAACATAGTGCGAATGGGGACAGCCGAGCTACTCGATTCATATCTATGCGTGGCTACATAATCTCTGAGGATCAGATCACTGACAAGGTTACTGGATATATCTCCAATTCAGTTGCTCATTTCTTCGCCGAGCTGGGAAATTTGTTAGCAAACATTTCACCGCAATGAGAGGCGGCATCATCAGTGCGTCGAGAAGTGGAGCGTAATCTCGCTGATTGAATTGTCGATCCGTGATCGAGGTACAGGTGACTTTTCGAAAGTGACGGGTTCGATCTGTGTCCCGTGATCTCTACCCATTTCCCCGTGGCGGAAGTTGTCGCTCGGGTTGTTCCCATTCAAGTGGCGTCTCATAATTTCTCTAAGTTCTCTCTGTCGGAGGGGTTGGTAAACTGGGTCAATCTCGATATGCATGTTGATCGAGTCTTGAATGGCAACAACCCGAGCGACGACTTCCGCCACGGGGAAAGGGGTAGAGATCAAGGGACACAGATCGAAATCGTCACCTGGACGCCGATCACGGATCGACAATTCAATCAGCGAGATTACATTCCACCTCTCGACGCACTGATGATGCCGCCACGCATGGCGATGAAACGTTTGCAAACAAATTTCCCAGCTCGGCGAACAAATGAGCAACTGAATTACCAACCTGAGCTACCAGTTTTCCGATACATCTCCAATTCGTCTACGGTGATGGAGAAATTCCAGCACTTCAGTTAAACGGTGTCGCACCGTTGGACACGGCAGTCAATTTCGGTCCAAGATATTTACGTCGTATTGATCATGCATCTAGTGAGCGATACGGAAACCCGAGTGTTGGTGTTCAGAAGTAAATCATTTGATGCTGCACTGGAGTGTTTGGTAAACTTGAACCGAGTGTGTTGCTTAGGTCATATTCTCAGTGTGTATAGTTGTCGGTTGTTTACGGCGTACACCGTTGCTGCAGAGTTGGTTGGGTGAAATCGCGGAGCGGCCAGTCGATGATGGGGGTAAAATGCATGAAGCAACTGGTCAAGAGTTAGTCAAGGTGGCAAATGTACCCCGTCTTTAGGTGTACGCCACGGAATCTGCCACATCGATGGTTGGAGATGGTGAAAACTCAAATCTTTGAATGTCTCATAAAGTTGTCTACCGGCAACTAGATAATGCTTACAACCCGAGCGGCATACAAAGAGCATTCGCCATACAAATTAAAAAACCAAGACGATGCGATAAGACCATCGCGTTACCTCATGCATCTAAAGTGTATGTCCATTAAGCATAATCAACTTATACTTTGTAACCGAATGTTGCAAATTATTAGTAGTTCACCTACGAAATGGAAAGTTAACATGCAACATAAGAATTACTTAAGTAGTAAAGAGTTGTTTTGCATCGGTTCCACAGACAAATAAGTGCATGAATACGAACGTTACAATAGCTATCACTCACTGAAGCAATAACACATAAAAGACTGTTAGATATGAGGGAAAGGTCGACTAATACAACGTGTGTCAAATGTTGACTGGGGCTACATGCATTGGACTGACTTATCTTCCTTCCATCAGTCCTTTAAATGAGTCTTGTTGTAACGCTTCTTCTTACCTCTGCTCTCTGCCACTGACGACTGTTGTACTGTTGCTAGCTGCCCTATGGGACTGCGACTGTCTGACTTCCCAGTCACGCGCTCAGCCAACCGAAGAAATACAGAAGACCAAGGCTCGGTAAACAGGGAGTCTATCTACACCATAAATTAACTGTATTTATAGGTAGCCGAAACATGCTAATTTAGGAGGTCAAGATCGCTCATTTCTGTGCGTCCGGTAATCAGCCAGTGTGAGTGAGTTCCACTCCACGGGTTTATCATCTTGACGGTATAGTTCGATTCGTTTTACGCGGACTGGTAATTGCTGGCCGATCAATTCTCAGTCGATACCCAACTTTAGCTCCGCTTACGTCTCTAGTAAGTCAATAGCTAGTTTCTTTCCCCAACATTGCTCCATTCTCCGCTCACAATCAGACCAAAGGCTCCCCATGTGCCACATATTTGAACTGTTCTGCCTCAATTGCATCAACGCTCACAGTCAATTAGATGAAAGACACACTGAGTGCCTACGAAGCACCGACACATTGATAGGCTGGACAAGTGATGCCACCAACAAGACATCTAACTGATGCATCGTATCCCCTTGTATCCATCCCTTGTTATATCTGGCCATCATGTGGGAAGCACGCTGTTCATTCCCACAGACGGTGTATGTCATGTCTTAGAATTATCGTCGTTCATAATGGGGACATGGGTCCTAGGTCAGCCGTTTATCATCATTAGAGCACTGTTTTTGACTGCTCTCTCGATGGAGTTCAAAGCATCTCGATACACCAGTATTCTACTTTTTTCCGCACACCCCTTCTATCATGCAGCGCTTGTTTGCACTCCAATAATCACTAGCATTTTCCTCGCATTGGATAATTCGGCGGGATGATATTCAACTAATCCGGAGTATACTAGTGCATTTGAAAGGCTTATTGAAGTGATCGGCGTCATTTTTGTTGTAATGTTAGGCGGAATTTCAGATTAAACCTCCATAAGAAAAGGAAATATATTTGATAATAGAAAAAACTTGATAAAAGGTTGGAGTTGCTTTGCAGAAATTGACCGGACCAATTTCGCTAGATCGTCTCGCCTCAATGAAAATATACTTACCATTATTATGAAGTACCCCCGTGGCGGAGCTGTACGTTGTCGGGCGCGTCCCCAGGTTGTGGATCGGAGAATGCCTTCTTTGTGGAGGCAACTGCGAATAAGTCACGTTTGCATTGCAGGCGAAATGAATAAGTAGTCGCGGACAATCAGCGGCAGCATCTCAGAACGTTGGGAGTTCTGGGCTGGTCACCTGACTCTCCATCAAATATCACAAGAGCTCGTACGGCGCTATGTCAAAACCAATGTGACCGGCTATAGGGTCATTGACCACTCACTTCTGTAAGCAGAAGTGAGTACCTAACGGAGGGCGGATGAACAACCTTGTTGGTCACCGGCTTCTCTGTGGACTGCTACCTGAACATAAAGAAGGCGAATAACCTACCCGGATGTCAACGGTCTCCGTTAATCGTCCCGCTGCCTTGCGGATCAGATCTTTATGACCAAAGGCTCGGGGTGGGGTCCCTTAAGTCAACCCTCTTCCTCGGCCTGGGCAACCGGGAAGATCTCTGCCCGCACAACACATTAACCTTGTAAACCTTTCCACTGTCTACCTGTTTTCCCCTTTTTATTGTTGTTGTTAACTATATGTTGTGGCACTGACAATTGTATATTGGTCAAGCGTTGAATTATAATAATTATTATGAAGTACTCACTGTGTGAATAGATCACGACACGCGATCTCAATGTGGAGCGCAATTTGCATTGAAGTGAACCTTTGTGAATTCGATCACCAGGACCATAAGTGATGAAGCGGCCGGATATAGGACATTATCCGCCCGAAAACACTGCACTCCACGGCTGGTTTCGAACTCAACCGTTGTGACAGGCGTTGCCCGACATGTCACAATGGATTAGAGGTAGAGGTTTCGGTTAACAGCCCAATAGCTCCGGGTTCGAGGACTGCTATCTCCACCTGATGAGATCAGATAAGTTCCAAGCTAGTCGCGGAGCGCAGCGTCTTCGGGCGGACAACAGCTAATTCCCATCTGCTTCGTCTACGGTCCCAGTTGTCGTACTGACAAAGGTTCATTTCAATGTGAATCGCGGTCTTCATTGAGATTGCGCGTCGTAATCCATCTTCACACAACGAGTAGTCCAAAGTGATCCTCCAATCAGTCTATAATCTTAGGTATAGTTCGTCGCAGTCTCCTCTCAATTACACAGGCTCCCACATGTCTGGAAAAGCGCCAGACAGCTGTTTCGACCTTCTGAGTCTCGTCAGTGGTGCGCGTTCCTCGGTCCCCTATCGGGTTAGGATTCCATGACTTCCGGATGCCAGCAGCTTGTGCCACGAAACCATGGGTGACGGCGGCGGACCGGCATGATCGACAGTTGATTACGATATAGCGTGGCTCATCGTCCACTATCACACAAGTTACGAACTGTGCAGAGGACAGCGGTTGGCCCCAGGAGCTACGGTTTTGCATATAGCGACTGTGTACGACACAGCATTTAGAAGCTATACGGATGAGTAGTGCGGATTTCGGTGTAAGTTTGGGTGCTACTGCTACGGTCTCAGGGATCGCATTGACCCAGGTTCACTACAACGTGAATCGCTGTCTCAATTGAGATTACGCGTCGCAATGCAGGTAAACAATGAATGCCCCAAAATGACCACTCCAATCTCATTGATATTATTATTAGTATTACTATTAAGAAATCAGTGGAGCCCTTGTTGGCTGTGCATTTAGCCGCTAAATTGACAAATGGGTAAAGCGAAGTCACCTTTTCCCCTGACTCATTTTTATCGTACTCAACTTTACGTTTCAGCGCATTACCATGTTGTTAATCGTCACGATCAGAGAAACGCAGGTCATGCCCAGTGGGTCCGTCCAACTTCAGTAGCCATGAAAGTTTTTCATGTGACTACAACTAGGCCGTAGACACAGGAATTCGATTCGAGACAAGAAACCAACCGGAACAATTCAAACTGTATACACACACACACACTCGCCAATGGCGACACGTGGTATCAAGAGGCACAAGTAACCCGCTGGGCTAAACAGGACGACCTGCGCGAGCATAGTAACAAGTGATAGACACAATGGAACATAAACCTTGCATACGTTCTGAGAAAAAAACTTTACAAATCTGCACGAAAGGAAACAACTATACGTCGCGGCAATTCGTGCAAAAGATCAGCGGAACAGGTAACATTTGCGTGTACAAAAAGGAGCATCGCTGTGACGAACAGAGGGAGAAAGACACAACCAGCCACTTGGCCAAGAAATCGTCCCAATGATGTGGACGTACTTTAGACGGGGGCCAAAGAGACTGTCGAAGGCAACTGCACAGTGAGAAAGTGTACTATTGTGGAAGCATTGCGGTGGAAATCCGATAAAGAGTGCCACAGTTTTGACTGAACCAACACTGACTGCAACAATCGATGTATCTGGTGAGAAGGAGCGTAAAGGTGGAACGCGGGAGAAGTTAGTCTGGAATTCAGCGAGTTTAGACTTGATGCTAGACGACGTAATTGGGCCGAAGAGGTCGATTGAGCGTCCTGATAAAGCTTGGCTAATCGTCGGACAGAAGCAAAAAGCGCACTGAAACAGACCATACGTTTCGCTGCGGATGAATGGTCCCGACAAGTTTGGAGGATCCGATCGGCCACATATTTCGGTTCTGTGTATGGCAAGGTATCAAGTGACTGAAGCAAGCAAAGTCTAGCGTGAAAAGATGCAACATCGGGATTAATATGCGACTCTTTCGCTGAATCATGGGGAAGCTCCATTTTTTCATGAAGAAAGCGAATGAGTTCAGTTGAAACGTCGTTTCGCGAGAACCGATCGATTGAAAAGACTGATGAATAGGAAGATCTAAACGGATGAAATGTACATCATACGATAGCGTGCAAAAAAGGCGTGAGGCGCATAAAATAAAGGTAATGAAACCCACAAGCCAAGCATCACAACCGCAAGGTAGACGTATATCAAGATATATTTGATCCACGCGGTAGCATCAGAGGTGTATCACACCAAACCAAAAGTCTACAAAGATGACGTGGCATATAAAAAACTGACTCAATATGCCGGTGTCAAATAGTAACCTCCCAAGCCAACACGCCTCAGCGACTGTCAAGGCAATGTAACAAAGCACAGCCTAGCTGCAAGGGTGGTGGTGACAGGTGTCTTAAGGATGTATGAGGTATGAAAGCTGTAAGTCAGTGACCTTAACGACCAATTCTCTGAAGCACACAAGCCAGTTTACTATAGAGGTCATGAAAACAAACCGTAGCTGCACACTAAGAGAAGGTGCAGGTAGATGTCTAGTCATCCAGTGACAGGTCACATAGCAAAACAGATCGATAACGCCTCTTCATTACTCACAAACAGTAGGTGTATCGTGGCGTATCGTAGATTAGTAGAAGCATGGTAAACCACAAAGGCCCGCAAGAATGTAATCGGTAGTGAGTAAGTGTGCAGCTGCCGACAGCAGCAAAGCACTGATACTTTGTATTGGGAAGTAGCGAGAGGCAATGACCCTTCGCTGTCACGCAACCCAGAGTGGCGACATGCCCACTGATGTCGTCCGCAGCTACGAAGGGTCGAACCGATGGCTTATGGATTACAAGCTAAGACTGGGCTGATTTTCTTAAGGTGAGGGATTACAGCTTCTAAGCTAAAAAAATTATACGAGGAATGGCATACTGCCATTGACTCAGTGAGGTATAATAGAATAGTACCATAGTTGAATGACTCGCATGTCAGAACGGGCTGAAGCTTCATTGCCCATAATGCATGCACAAGACAGCCTTATAAAACAGACATTTGTTAAACAGGTGATTGCTTACATGTTTTTTGCCACAACGGCACACAACCAGTTGGAGCATGGAAGTGCGAGAGAAACCCATGGAGGGAATACCCCGCATGGGAGCAGATCCTCTGGGGACGGTTCCACGGATGGCCACATTACTTTACTTGGACTTTTGGTTAAATCTGCATCTGGTATTGTTCCCAGTTCTGTAATCTCTCGGATACCTTGGAATTGCCACTCAATTCAAGAACCCATTTGGGACCCACTGTACAAAAGGCGCGCAATTAACTATTTTATGTGATCTCGATGCATAACTTGATCAGACCACTCAGTTGGACTTGGCCTCGCATCGTCGATGAACATACCGCTTATTTAGTTATAAATGCCTGATCCACTTAGCCGCTGGTCGGATAGCTCGTGCCGGTGCGGAGAGCAATGAACCAAGACCTAAGGTGGGACTTAAGCACGGTGAGCAGAAATTTTGGGCAAAGATATATACCTATACTTTGGGGAGGGGGGATCGCGCAGCCGCAAAATAGGGAGCACCAAAAAGACATCCTTGTAAAGGCTTTGGTTGCCAGGCGCCAAAATTCATCCTACGCCAAAGATAGTTCAGCACCAGACTGTTGGACGCACTCAAATGAATGTCCGCTTAGAGTCGTTCCCACACGTTCAGTAGACGATTACGCGATAATGCCTGCGCGAAACCTAGCTGAAGTGTAGACGATGATGGAACTCTGTCAATTGGGTTACGCATGCAATACGAGACGAACGTAACCCCTGCGACGCACTTGGACTAGGGCGAGAGAAAGAGAGAGAGGGACAGACCTTTCGCACGAGTGCTTTTACTGACTTTGCAGAAAAGCAATACAAGTGGAGACTACGCCGACCGTGAGTTTTGCGGGATGATTTTGTGTACGAAACCCTGCTGAGTCGTGATTTTGAAGTTGCGTGATCATATTGTGAGTGCTACGCGTGGTACCTATTTGATTGCACAAGCGACTATTGGAGTCAGCGCTGCAGATGGGAATCTCTGCGGAATTACTTTACGTTTCCGTAGTACGGACGCAAGTCAACAAGCAGTACGCGCGGGACACAAAAATCAACAGGCGCTTACGATGACTGAGCGCCCAATCTTGTAAGGTCCAGCATAAAATGGAATCAGTAGTAAGCCGGTACACCGAACCGACGCTTCGCTGCCACGCAACCATCAACAGTCGCGCGTGGGCTAAGGATACTGCGAGGGTCGTTCGGTCCCTTACACAGTCTCGAACCCGCGACCTTCGGGTCGCAAGGCCGACGCAGTCCTTTCGATCACATGGTGAGAGAAAGACATAGAGTGGATGGTTTGGACATCAGACGTGTAGGTAGGACGAACTAGCGTTACACGGCACAGTAATCAGGCGCTACATTTCCGTCCGCGAAGCTGACGTCAACTTAACTTAGGTTAGAGAGCAGTAGGGTGTTGATTGGGTTTCTGAGCAGATTTGTCGCAGTTGAATTCAGCCACACAACCACCACACATTCAGGAAAGCAGTCCTTTGCGTCGGAAAGTTTGTGCCGATTTGCTTCCATTGCTTCATGCGCAACATTTATCCCGTGAGGCATTAGAAGCTTCGCTGTCATATCAGAAATGTCATTGATATAAGGTAGGATAATAGTTTTCCTGCCTGTGGCACTAGTCGATGCGGGTTATGGTTGTTTCCTTGACATCAGGCAGCGTAGAATAAAACTACCGCTGAAACATGTTGAAGAGGTGGCCTTCCTCCGTCTTCCTCAGTTGCGGCTACATTGTGTTTGGGCCCGCTAAAAGAAAATTCTTATACAACTGCGCTTGTAAACGGCCGGATTGTTACTGCGTTAGTTCAAAATCTGATCGGTATGCGTTGCCTTCCGATAGACCGCTGTTTCCAGGGGGCCAAGACCATGTCTTATCACAAGCACGTTTAAGAATGGCAACTGGTTATTGTTCTCCTCTTCTTTGTTGAATTGGATGTCAGAGAAAATGTTGTTGATTAGCTGGTGTATTTCTTGAAGTCTGAAGCGTTTGAGGATAACAAAAGTGTCGTCCACGTAGCGTACCCAAAGCTTGGGCTCCACGATCGTCAGTGCGTTTTGTTCCAGTGCTTGCATCACTGCCTTGGCTATCAGTTCACACCCCAAACTACAGGTTTTCTCAATTGTTTCCAAACTAAACAACGATTTTCAGGCATAATAATGTGGAAACGGAATTGCTGATAGAATTCATCTTTAGTTATCTCTAGGCTGTAGTCAGTGAATCCACACACACACTGTGGAAACAAGAAGCCCTAAAGCAACAAATGCTGTCTTTCGTCCACTGTGATCGGTCCTGGTAAGAGGCCACCCACATTGGGCGTGGGTGTATCGTCCGGCCCGTCCAATTCTGGTCAACAAATATGAGCGGTACTCGACTCATTTTCTGTCCATTCACCAATGCCTCATTAGTGCGCGTGTGCCATTTATTCAATGTGGTCTAAGACCAACCGGGTTTGCCTTTGCCCACAACCACGCTACGCTGAAGAAAATCTGTCGAGCCTCTCTGGCTTGTGCGTTTGTGGCCAACTTGCGTGGACCGTGTTTCATTGGACTCCTGTCCAGAGTCGGGTTCCTTTACCCAAGCTATCATTAACATATTACTCTGTACGTAAGAGTAAACGATCCCGTCGATAGAACCGCGTTATGCAGACGAAAAGGAAGGTGTGAGTTGAACCGAAAAGATAGATACCTACTCCACATGGGCCAAACTTTCAGCAGCCAAGATAAGTGTCAGTCCTTTCTGTTCCTTTTTCTATGGTAAGATCAGATGAGCCAGTGTATCGTGATATTTACCAAGTGTCAGCGCCTTATACACAAGTGTTAGATTGTTAGTGGCTACTAAATGCATTGTTGTAGGACAGCCACAGATTCAGTAAGTCAACTCAAATGATGGCGTTAAGGAGTTAGTTGCAAGAAAACAGATAGAGGTACACCAAGAACAACGGTGAGAATTACCGCTCTCCAAGCCTACGCAGTATCGTATGGCTGGCAGCTAGATAACCGAGAGGCGCTTTTCCATTGGTGCCGAATTTCTACGGTGCACATCAATTGTCGAACTGTGTTTGTGGAGCACGGAACTCACCTGGTGGAGGGGAAGAAGAGAATACTCGGCACACGCTCAACCCGTAAATTCCAGGGTAGATCGACTGCGAATACATCGACTCTAAAGAAGAAGAAAAAACGTACAAGATCACACTAAGCATACCAGTGATGTGCGTGTGATTCAGATATGTAATCGTATAATAAAACACAGAGCCGCGTCAGGGAAGCAGGCCGATAGGTACACCCATATATGCACCATGTGCCGGTTACTCAGTTGAGCGTAGTACCTCTGAAAACAGGCCAATACACAGTGGGTACGATGGGGTTTCTGATAAATGAACTAGACGTGGAGGTTCGGTGTAGCAGCTTGTAACCGTTTACTTCACAAGTTTGCTCAACAGTAAGCGCAACGAGTATTATGCAGTTCAGGTAAACAACTACGACCGAAGCCACAGCGCGCGTCAGCAGGATACCAACGAGTAACAATGGCGGGGAAGGGGAGCCGGAGCAAAAAGGGAGAACAGAGAAAAAGTGGTTACAGTAACAAGTGAGTAAATGTAGTGGGAATAAAATGCTAGCAATTAGACCCAACAGACAGACTGCATGAGCACCAACGACTCTGTGACTATGCTAGGTGGGATAAGAAATTGATGTGGACTATCCCGAGGCCCCAATTCACGAAGACTGCACGCATCAACTGGACCAACTCTCTCGGTCAATCTCATGTCTTTACCCCACGTCCTCGAACGGCCTCCTCGCGGCCTCGACCAACAACATGCATGCATAAAACACAATACACACTAAGGAAGATGGTCGACGGGCATGCGGATGACATGAGAGACACAAAGAAAGCGGCTCAAGTTTCGTAGATGATCCAGTGTAGCTACCAGAAGGTACCTTGCCAAACAGTCATTGGTGGACCTCGATAGTGCTCACCAGATGTTCCCACCACATGTGGGCAATACGCTGCAAGCGCCGGTGATCAAGGTCGGCCAAGCAGTTAATGTCTTCAGTGTGAACTAAACTGGTCTCGAATCCATAGAGAAACACTGAGCTTGTCGCAATACTAGACACCCTACTTTCGCTTACAACATGATACTCTGCTGTTTCCATTGATGATTAAGTCTCTGAAATACCACAAGGGAGTGGCTGATACGCAAAGTAGCTTCCTCAGTGATGTGAGCAAGAAAAGTAAACCCCACTACTTCTAGTGGCTGTTCGGGGATAGCTGAAGCTGGTGGTGTACCAGTCCAGTCGTTCAACAATACTTTGCACGGTGAAGGTACGAAGTACATGCCGATGCGTGTAACGGCACGCGTCGGTTTATTCAACAGTGCTTTCATATCTTCCGGGTCCGACCGAAGGAGACCAATATCGTCCATGTACATAAAGTTTATCGGTCGGCCAGCTGGTAGAATAACAACTCTAGAAGAAACTGAGAAGAGTTTTTCATGCGTATTTCGACCACAAAGTAGCAAAGAGTAGATAGGACAACCCTGGCGAAACCCACTTGTCGTGAGCAACTTAAGAGACAGTTTTAGGTGGTTGCCTTCGTGATCTAGGAAGTCGCGACAGATACTTCAGGACGGGAAGGTGATTTCGTCGTATACATTTTAACGATAAGTAGGCTCAGTTGTTGTGGAGTTCTCCGAGCTGGGCAAGTTGTCCAGCTCAGAGAACTCCACAACAACTGAGCAAGCCACCCGAGCTACCAATATTCCGAATCATTTCGATAGGTAGCCTCACTAATAGGCATGACCAATCGGAACGAAACTGCCTTTCCAGTCAAGGAAAACCACTCTGGTGGGTCGGTTGTATGCGTGCTGTTGTTGCAGCACTTGATGAGGAGCCGGTACTAGGGACGGAGGCGCGTCAGTTAGATAAGGCTAGAATCGTTTGGAGTGTGCTAAAAATAAGGCATCCAAAATCGCTTCCCTGCGTCAGGATTCCGAAAGCGTCGATTGATCTGAGTGCAGCGAGTGGTTCGCAGATTCCTCAGATATTCGGTTTCAAATCGAACACAACATCAGCTTTCCCTATGTGTCCCAAAATGATTGAGAGCGTTGGCGGTGCGCTACTGCCTGTGACGCGAAGAATGCCAATGTGAGTGGGTAAAGTCAAATCGTCGTTTAATTTCTTAGGAGCATAGATCCAATAAAGCCGTCAGTGAACAGAATCAGAAACGGTCAAAGCAGAAGCCGATGTACTTACAAATACGCCGAGTTGAATTAGGAAGAGAGTATTATGAAGACCAATACAGCAAGCATGCTATGATATCATCCATAGAAGGATCAACTGTACTTGCGCAAGAGGTTGGCTGCATACGTCTAACTGTGGAAAAGATTCGATATGATGATCTTTAAATAGTTTTAATGAAAGAAGGAAACTCATTGGTGGCTGCTTCAGGCATACTATACGACATTACGTGGAAAATCGAAAGTACGTCTTTATTCTGCTCGTGAGTAACGGCCAGTTCATCTGTAAGAGGATTCAAAAAGGTGAATAAGCATCAGCATCAAGATAAAAGTTCCTAGGGATAGGATACTGTCCTCTTTATCTCATGAGAGCCGAATCAATGAAATTCAGGCCGGCGAACGGACACACGTTCGGAGCGTCTCGAACATGTTCAATAGTAGTGGCTGCGATTTTAACACACTAGTTCGACTAATAGATCCTAGTAGGAGCTCTACTCGAAGCCAATAGAACATAATCCTCTGGGGTGCGGTACAATAGAAAAAAACCAGAATTCCGGCACTGAAGCTAAACAAGGCCTCATGGAGAATCGTAAGACATGGTGGATAGAAAGTGTTATCGAGGGGGAACGGGCAGCTGCATAGGGAAATTCGCAAAGACTTTCTTCTGGTCCGGTACACATGCCGCAGTAAACCGACAGAGAATAACGTTTGGTGTGAGACCAGCGATGAGCCACTTCCTAGTTATCAACGTCGATGCCTAAGCTCAAGGAAGCACTTTGAATAGAAGTGCAACGAAGTTGCGCTCACTCTTAAGTATCCATAGGGCTTATTAATTTGTGGACAATTTAGTGCAATTTCCTATAGTTTGTGCCCACTGGGAGATCACAAACTCCCTGACAAGCATGAACGTCCTCCGGAAAAGAAAAGGCGTCTGTCTCGTAGCCCGGAAATCACGAGTTGGAGCGTATACAAAGGACCGGGCGACCTCCACAGTATCTTTGGCTCACGCGCGACTGTTGATGGTTCAGTGGCAACGAAACGTTGGTATAGTGTACTACTGATGGTTTGCATTTTAAATGCTGTGAATCAATTGCCGTGCCCGAAAATGTTTGGGCCGTTGAAGTCATCTAGCCTGAGTGAAGCTCAGCGGATGTGAAGTCGGTTTCCAAGAGCGATAAGATAGGGTAATAGGGTAATCCCACTTAGTTGTGTCCAATATACCCCATAAACTATGTCTAAGGAGACAATCTGGTACGTGAACATCACATATGGGGCCATCAGAGACTCTTTCGCCTCAGTGTTGGACCGATTTTAACGATTCGCAACTCACACAAGGTGTTACTAATGAATATTCACCCGTTCTGGGTGTAGAAAGCACTTTCCTGACTTGACTTTGACTAGTCACACAGAGTAGATTTTCGGACGGCCAAACATATCTTTTTGGTCCAACGATCGGTGTCTGAATCAGTCCACAATGAAGCACCTTGGAGCTATCTACCGAAATTAAGAGCGCTCGGGAAGCATGCCAAAATTCGTTAAAACGCCTGTTCCTCAAACTTTGGATCGTGTGCGAGTATGTGACTATATTACACCTCCTTTAGTACAGCCAGTGTGACAAAAATAGATGCCCAGTTTCACTCGACTTCGATATAGATCATCATATCCTGGAGAATGATGTGGAAAAACGTTGGTTTAACAATAGCGAGTTGCTTATAGGTGTAACAGACTTACGCAGATATCCATGTGAGTCATGGCTTCCAAAACAAAATGACTAAATTGGGGATGTCTATTTCATAGTACGGAATGACTTGTATAAGGTTGAAATGGGTGATCATCCCAAAATACACAGGTCTAGGCCCATATAGCCTAGAGGGAACAAGATTGTCTCTAGTAATCTGGCGACGCCGGTTCGAATCCGCGTAGGGATGGGCGTCCTTGCGGTATACTCAGCCCGCGTGCGACTGGTGCTAGTCGCACGGCAACGAAGCGCCGTTACGGCGTACAGCTGACCAGTTATTATCTTATTTATCATTCTTACCTTCACCTTTTAGGTGGTTGGTTGCAGGTGGACAAAAAGCCTCTTTAACTGGACGGTCGCGTTGGTGCCAGTGATGTCATAAAGGTCTGCAAGACACTCAGAAACGGCGAGTCGGCAAAAGCATACGCATACCCAGTGTGCCTGCAAACATGGAAGCGACTGTGGAGCTTAAAAACAAACGACTTTTTGGACCTTAAGGTGGTCAAACAAAAGGCAAGAAAATCCGTGTAGAGCAGTTGAAAGTAGTGAAATCGTCAAGAGTAAAGGCAAGGTCCATCCGATTGGCGTCCGACTGGCTGCATAGTTATGCGTAGTGATCCGATCTACGGATTGACCCTTAAAGCATACACCTTAGAAACAACACACACACACCTAAAAGGACATTTGAGAAACACAACGATTAGACCCGAGTGTAAATCACATTGAAAGTACTACCGCAACCCCCCACAAGGTGATGGCGTTTAGTCGGTGACTTTCACATGCTCGACACCGGTCCAACCGAATCATGTCGTAAAGAGTTTCATACAAACGTGATGCGTGAACATAACCATAACTGCTCAAACCGGATAACAATGTCTTTGGGAAATCAGCGAGTCAACTGCAAGGAACAAATGTGCATTACTAAGCATCAAAATCGGTAACTAGCCTTCCCTTTGTCTGGGGAGATGATAGCCTCGGCAGCGTGAAATCCGTACCATGGTTCGATTCCTAACGGCGCTACGGTGATAGCACCCTTCCCCTCATGTAGACCCTCAACACTGGACTAGATTACAGTGTTAGCGCAGAGCAGCACAGAAAACTTTTCATTTTGGATGTGCTCCCTGCAATCGGAATGACAGATCCAGTTTAAAGCAAAGTAAAGCCCTAAACACGCATCGGGCACTCAAAAATTCACGACGAACTTCTAACCGCCGTTTTAACAGCTGCTCCCAGAGCATAATGGCCTGGTGATCATGATGTTCTTCACCATACAGTATGTCTAAGGTTCCACGCCAGGCTACAGCCATCTATACCCGTAGAGTGAAAAAAGGCGAAACCAGTAGGAACAACCGACATTTTTCTCAATGATACGGCGTGTCGTAATCTATATTACATACGACGGGAACCACAGAATTCAACACTGAAGTTCCGTGATGATTCGACAGACTTTGTTTGCGAAGTAACACTTTGGAAAGCATGATCTATCAGCCATATAAAAGCATATCTTGCGACCATGAATGGGATGCATACCTGGCAAAGGTCACCCGATTCTGTGGCTTGAAACGGTGGGCCACCGCCTCGAAGTGCCAACGCCAGCTGCTTCCGTGGGAGGCATACGCGCAACCATCGACGTAATAGAGTAAAACTAGGTGCGTCGCTGCTGAACTAGGTAATGTGAGGTTATCGTGAAATCGGATCGAAGTACGTTGGTCCAAAAGAGCATTCAACTGGGCCGCACTCCGAATCTCAATGACAGGAGATGTCCCACGCTGCTCCGTGAGTTCTCGTTTAAGTGGCTTCGTGTATTTAGACCAAGGTCTCAACGCAGAATCGTGAAATCCAACGATGAATTCGGCTGAAAAGCAAAGTGAGCACGTCAGACAAACAATTGGAAAAAACATGCATAATCATCGATCTAACCGAAAGCTGGCAGAAGTGGGAAGTGGGTAAAAGACATTGGCAACACTTCAACACTTTGTACTGATATCCCGATAAAATGTAACCGCAAGCAGATGTCCGCGGGCTGTGATACTACAGGGAGACCAAACAAGTGCAGGAGCGGGAATTCGTATGCGGGACGCAGAAGTGGCAGGCAAAAGGTTGGAACCACTGCGCCTCTGATTCTCTAGGTGTATATGGAGGGAAGAATGAAAAGCAAACATTCGTCCTCATAATGCGCGAGTGGTAAGATGCTAGTGAACAGCAAGAACATGACACGACGAATGCATGAGTTTCAACGAGCAGATGTTGAGAACGCCACATTCATCAGCATCATCATCCTCATCGTCAGTGTCATCAGCATTATCATCATGTGGCGGAGACTGGCAAGAGCGCCTCGAGCCTGTGCTATACGGTTTGTGATCTCATCTTCCATTCCACTGGCGCTGAGACAGCTGCCTAGATACTTAAATTTATCAAGGACTTTTAGCTGATCCCCACCAATGGTTAACGCAAAGGTTGGTCCCTGCCAACCTAGAAAAAGGACTTTGCACTTCGAGAGTGCAAAGCATAGCCCGAAACGACTGAGGAGCAGTGCTAATTTGACTAGTGCTATTTGGAACGTTTGGGAGCTGTTAGAGATAAGGATCAACGTACTCAAAGTCAAGAAGTCGATCATTTGGAAGCAGCTCCACGCATTGTAGGCCATGTCCACTGAACGCAGTCTCGGTGACTTCATCGATGGATGGGTTAAAAAGGAAAAGTGACAGCAGGCATTCTTGCCTCACAGTGCTGGATGTATTGAAGGGCCGCGACAGCTTGTCGTAAGCCCCCTCTCTGCCCGAACTATGCGCGTAAAGCGCTCTGATAATGCTTTTCGGGCAGACCATTCCTGAGTAGGCATCTCCAAAGGGCAAATCGATCCAGCGAATCGAAAGCACCTTTGATGTATAGGAACACGGCTACAATGGGTCGTCGATAAAAGTGACGATGCTCTAACAATGGACGCAATGTGAAGACGGGATCAATACATTCGCGTCTTCGACGAAATTCGGCTTGCTCCTCATGGATCTGGCTTTCATGCGTGCCAGCAAGTTTACGGAGAACGACAGAGACGAGTAGTTTAGAGCCGATTGAGTTCAGACTGATCCTTCTAAGATTGTCGCATTGGGAATGTAAACCCCCTTGAAAATGGGGACTATAACGGAGCGGCTCTGGTCTGCTGGGACAGTTTCCTGATCCCAAAGCTTCAAAACTAAGTTGTGTAGATCAACTACAAAAGCAGGCCGCTCGAATTCGAAGGGATTTGGAGAAAGTTTATCTGCTCTTGCGCCTTTATTCACTTCCAACTGTCTGGGCTAATAATCGATTTCTGCGCGTGGAGGCGGGTGCAGTGGGACGGTCGAAGGAGAAGGGCAATTGTTGGCCGATGGAGAAGCTGGTAACTCTAGTTGATCAAACAGTTTTTCAGTGTTCGGCCTATCGCCCCAAGCGTTTTGAGAAACTGTGGACTGGCCGTACACCTTCGTCATGTGTGGTCTCGCTAACACCAGGTCTCCTACTGCCTGTTCCGCGTATCAGACAGAATAACTTCCGATGGTTGCCAAGGGCAGCGGCCAATTCCATTTTCGATGCACGATTAGACAATCAAGCTTGGAGGTCTCTCTGCAAGCTACCATGAAGTTCCGCCTTGAGGTCTTTGCGAGCCACGTTATATTCGCTCTCAATCGGAGTGGCAGCGAGAATCCAGAGACCCAATGTCTAGGTTGGCAATTTGAGTTACTACATGAAGATATACCTGCTGCTAATAACATCTGGTGAATATGCTATCAGAAGCCTTCCACTGTGTCCAGAGAGCACTTACTCAGCTCGGATGCCCGCGTACTTTGATACGCGTTTAGAAAATCTGGCTTCGTCCGCTGGCGAGTATCTACACGCTCACAGCGTCGACGCATGCGTCCACCGAAGCGGACTATCAGACAGACACAAACGAGTGCGTGGTCAGAGTCCATATTAGCACTGCAAATCGAGCGCCAGCCTTGGACACAGCCTCTCCAGCGGTAATTGATCGTGATGTGATCGATTTGTGTCTATGGCTGGTCCGAGGCTGGCGAGAAACGTCTTAGGAACATACCCAGTCTCCCGTGCCTCCTGATACTCTGTCGGTCGGGCACTGTACGACAACGGACTGCTAACTTGCAGTTTTATCAATGTATCATGATAGGCAGGAGGATACAGAATGATGGCCATACAAATGGGTTGTCAAACGCAACGCGTCCGGGCATGAAGTGCCCAAAAGCGGGAAAATGAGAACTAGGTAATGATGTGATTTCGTGATGATCGGAAGATCAAGTGACTTGAAGTGCTCATTGACGGAGTTGTTCGCCGAAACCAGAGATGCAAAAGGGTCACCACCGAGACGATGGAAAGCAGGGTGGCATTTCAAACGATTGCGTTGCGGTGCAATTCACTGTCAGCTATCAAACAGATTTGACGCTCGGGCTGCAAAATGGGACGTTCATTAAAACCGGTTAAGAAACGTGGCCCTTGCAGGCATAACATGCACACAGTCAAACGAATCCCGTGGATGAATCTGTGTTTATGGCAAATCGCTTGCCGAGATAAAACAAAGAGTGTACTCGCGCTACTGTGGGAAATGTGGTCTCTCTTGTATGAGGAGAATCAATCAGTCCGTAGTGCTTTAGAGAACGGTTCATGATAAGCCCGCGAGCAACCACAGTGAGTGTTCAGAGACACATGAAGTGCATGAAACGATACCCGACTCTACATCAATAGACAGACGAGGGGTGAAGGACAAAGATGATCTTCATCGGAACTGTTGACTCACTGAATCTGCCGACATAATCGCCAAGGCTACAAACTTAGCGTGACTATACATGCGGTCACACACGGTGCAAACATTAGATCAGATGCCCCTGAAAACTTGAATGGATTCTCATAATTGCGCAGATGGGAATACAGATTAGGATGTAACAAAGGTAATCTTCTCAAGTTAGGGCATAGGACGCATACCAACCTAAAGTGAAGCATAACCGCAAGCGTGATAAATTGCATTGTAAAAACACAAAGCACAAGTGTGTAAAAATGAAACGTACTTAGTGCGTCAGAGCTGATAGGTCGTTCCAGACGATAAACTGCTTCCATCTGAAGCAAAAGTGGTTACAATCAGCACAAAACTAAAAGAGCAAGGTGATCTCGCTGCCTTCACATACGAGTAGTGCTAGAAACACTGACTTAAGATAGTAGTTTTAAAATGAAGACGACTGGAGGCATGAAGCAATATGCTTACTTGTTGGTCGACGATGATCACCATAAAGTCATTGCGATTCGACGAAGCATCATAACCGGCCAGTTCCCATGCCAATTGCGGTTGTGCTATGGAGTCTAAAGTATGAAATGTCAAAGTTCGGTTTGAATTGCAAGACAATCCGTGTAGCGGAGAGCTTGCTGTCCAATCGGGACGAAGATTCACTGTAGACCGATCTCCTTCGGCTGTACAGTTGGATGATAGGGGATAACTCGCATCCGGCAGCTGACGATGGTACCATTGACAACAGGAAAAGTGCAGTCGTTCTATGATCACTCGCCAGTCCCGATGATTGAGAAGCTCAGCGCAGGCCTGACTATCCCCATCGTCAGATAATCGGTGTAAAAGACATTGTGCCGTGGCTCGTATTTCTGGAGACCAACCGGAGGAAAGAATGGGACAACATGAGTTTTATTCGAGGTAGAGAAGGAAACCCAGTAGTAAAAAGAGTTTACACTATGGAATAGCATAAAGTCAGTGCGGAATGTATGAGTTCAATGTAGTGAGTCAGTAATGTTTGGAGTAGCGGATTCAGTTCCCATAAGCTGCGCCGGCAGTGTAAAAACAAGAAAACCAACACAGATAGTAATCCGTCAGAAGAAATCGAAACATAATATGAATATGGAGTAAAAAAGGTTAACAGCAAGGTGCACAAGGAACACAATCTGCGCGATTGAGGTATGTCTAATATAGTAGATGGTTAGTTATACCGCGTCCCCACCCCCACTTCAGGATAAAAGCCCCAGTGTGACTAAAGTTCCCGTTTAAATGCTGCACGGCTCTTTGTTGCGTCGCTGACTGGCAAATCGGGAGCTTTACACAACAAGAGGCAGCAGCAGTGAGTAATGTATGGTGGGTCAACCTGTTGGTAGGCACGTGGGTAATGAAACCTCACGAACGTAGACCATGGGTGCTTACCGGATGGCTCGGAGTACGTCACAACAATACTCACTCGGCGACCGCATTAGACGTGAGGGAGGAATGTGGGTGCAGCGAACGCACTCTGGGGGGGGGACATAGCAATGTCCACACTGGTTTGACAGGCATTAGAAGCTGCATCATCTATAGACAAGCGCAATGAGAAAGTGACGCCAGTGTCACATGAAGAGGATCGCAGGGTAAGCACAGAGCTTGAGTTTTGCAAGCGGGTTTCCGACAAATAGCGGATAGTGCTCGGACAAGCGCTGCTTATTAGCCAAGTTGCATCATCATTATCATCCTCATACACGTTAGATAGAGGTGGGGAACACCTCAGCTACTGTGCCGCAATACATAGAAAAAAGGAGAAAATGCGACAGGTGAAAGCCAGCTGAGCTACCGGTAACGGATGGGCATCGTTCCGGTAAGCTACCAGCCAGCTACTGTGCATCAAAAAAATCACTATGCAAAATTATGTAAGGCTAAATAGTGAGATCGTGGTTGGAGGGGAAGGCTAAGGGGGATGGGGTGGGATAAAGAAACTCACAGCACGAACGCCACTGAGGTCGGCTCCTAGCCATATCAGCAAGTGTGTCCAACCAAACGTGTTCATCGTCTTTCGGACTCCAACCAGGGAGCCGAGAAGCTCCAACCGAGGCCAGCTCAGAAGTGAGGGCCTTCATTCCTCTGGACCAAGTCATCGCTTCGCCGCCCCTCCTCTTCTTCCATCCACACCCCGGCGCGAAACAACGCACGTCGCGGGAGCCGGCGGACTGGCATGCGTAACATGTGGGCGAGTCATCAAAGCATGGTGCATGAAATAACGGTGCTGAGTGGTTCATTCACTTTTTCTGTGCCGTAAACAAGGAGTCGAACATGCCCATTGCTTACTCGATGTTCCCAGCAGATGTGAGCTAAATTGCGAAGGCACCGGTGGTCGAACCTTAGTAGCCTTTTTATGTCCGTTGATCTAAGGGGTAGGGTTTCACAACCGTACCGTAGGGTCGAACGTACCGCTGCACTGTACACTCTACCCTTCAGGGCGAGAGTGATGTCGCGCCGGTCGCCATAAGTGGCGAAGGTTAACAAAAGCGCCCCGAGCTTTTGCTATAAGGTTCATGATCTCATCTTCAATCCCACGCACGTTGATACAACTTCCCAGGTAGTTAAATTTTTGAACGACTTCTAGCTGATCCCCACCAAGGGTCAGCGTAGGAGGCGGTCCAGACCAATGTTGGAGGAACGCTTTGCATTCGATAGTGGGAAGCAAAGCCCGAAGTGACGGACAGCTAGTGCTAATCTCTCCATGCCGCTTGGCACGTTTGTGAGCTGTCACAGGTTAGGGTAATCTCATCAGCATACTCCAAGTCAAGAAGTCGTTCTCCTGGGAGCAGATCCACACCTTCTAAGTCGTGTCCTGTAAACACGATTTCCATGACTTCCTCAATAGGGAAGTTGTAGAGAAAAGGTGATAGCGGGCATCCTTGTCTCACACCGCTGGAGATGTTAAAGGGCGACGACAGCTTGCCGTAAGCCCTCACTCTGCCCGTGCTACGCGCATATAATGCTCGGATAATATTTACATATTTCTCAGGTACACCCTTCCTGAGTAGATAGTCCAAAAGTGCAAGTCTATCCACCGAATCAAATGCACCTTTGATATCAAGGACCACCATAACAGTGGGCCGCCAATATATGTGACGGTGCTCCAACAACTGACGCAAGGTGAAGATGTGGTCAATGCAGCCAGCCAACTTGTAACAAAGTGCGGATGTTGAGGCGGAGAAGATCGTCAATGTATTGCCCAGGTATAGGCAGAAGAAGGATCAGAGTTCTAAACCACAGCCTTTGGACCAAAAACCTGTCCGCAAGGCAGCTGGAGTTTGGCGCTGGGCTGCAGTGAGTCCGTTTTATGGTGTATAAAGAGCCACTCTCATCCCAAACCCCAAAATGTAGGACCAGGAAACGGAGTCTATCCTGCACCTAACCATTGACGAATATGGTACGAGTGGCTATGAAGGTGGAAAAGTACCAGCAAGCCCAGTCAATGGATCCCTGAGTCAGGCAAAGCAGCCTCATCGCGATTGTGACAACAGCGTTCATTCGAAGTGAACAGATGGATCCAAAGAACCATCCAGGTAGTAAATGGGAGACAAAACCGACAAGTGCGGTCACTTGACGCAACACTCGTAGTCATCTGTAGACGCGTCGTCGCTGACTGACTGAATTTCGAATGCGCCACAGTGATCCTCATCGTTGACCGAGTCAAAGAGAAGATAGTAGCATGGCCATCATCATCATCCTTCTGGATATTCAAAAGTGTTTAACTGTGTAACACATAAACCATTGTTGGCTGCGCTTGAATCTCACGGAATCAACAATCCTCTGTTGAGCTGGTTCAAATCACATCTGAATGACCGAACATAAAGAACATAGATTGGTCAGTATTGTTCAACGTTCAGAAATGTAAAGAGTGGTGTCGTTCAGGACAGTGATTTGGGCCTACTGCATTTCGCCATTTACATAAACGATATATGTGATTACATAACACACGGGCGCCTATTTGTATTTGTGTACGCATTTCACCTTGGCCACCTGGAACTATGCCTAAAATATATCAGCGAAGACCTATCATCCCTAAACATATAGAGCAAAAGCAGATCAATGAGGTTTTCGGTAGATAAATCTCAGATTGGCACAGATGCAGTATACCAGAAAGATTCATCAACCTTACTGGTACCCCCATCCAAACCGTCCGAGACCTAAGAATTCAATATTCGAACAGCTTCAACTTCTCCGAACACATCCTACAGTAAGTAGCGAAAGCGAAGCAAATAACAAGCTACATAACCAGGTCATCTTAAATATCCAAAAACACCATTTGAATCACCCAAAGTCATTGTGCGACCTACTCTAAAGTACTGCCTCATCATACATGGTTGGCGGCATCCGGGTTCGGATTTACCTGTCACTGTGGCATCCATAGGACAGCCACAGGACGCCTGCGCTTACAAAGGGACCATGGATGGCTTGCGCTTCACGACCCACAGCTCCATCCACACACCCCATATCCAGTGTAAACCCGAAGGAATAAGACCGGGAGGCATGCGGATGGGAGCCACGTTTCATCAACGGAGCCGGCCCACACTCCTTCACAGGCAAACACAAGCACACTGTATTTGGGAATTAAACGCACACAAGGCGGTGGCTGGACTGCAGTCCGCTCCACACTGAGTGCATGAAACCATTCTTCGAGCATAACACGGCCACAAGGACCATGCACCCCGTCTCCTCCAGCAACGACCAACTATCTCCTAGAGCCAGTATGGACGAGGTAGTGGGTAATAAGGTAGACACTTTGTCCACATGCACATTAAGCGCAGCCACACCGGAGATATCAAGCAACAGCCAATCACTTGAAACGACGAGATCAAATAAGAGAAATCGAATAATGCATACAGATACGGTGAAATAAATTGGTTACAAACAAATCCGCGATAAGTTCAAGACGCCAGAAAATATACTACAAGAAAGTGCCACAAACGCGAAAATGTTATCAAAGTTAACTACACTTAGATTAAGCAAGGTGCACAAGTTTTTAAAAGATAGTTCAGATAGACAGTAATATAAAAAAGTATCAGGACAAGATAGCAAACCCACTACCTGAAATAAAGAGACTCAGCATGCAGGCACGCGGTTAGTAAAGCGGATGCAGCATACCTATAAACGCTGCGCCGGTTTTGCCTACGCTCTCAGCAGGACTCGTCGTCGCTTCGGTGTTGGCCCCGAGTGGCCTCACTCAAGGCTCACTAGGCCTGCCTGACTCAGGCACTCGTGACCGCGTGTGCTACAGCACCGTGCGCTCGATGTCGATGGAGTACAACCCATCGTTGCTTGCAGCTTCCGCACTTGCCGTTTCTTCTCTGCATGCAGGAGGGCTTTCTCTTGCACCTCGGCAACGGCCTTCGTGATCAGATCGCGCAATCAAGCCAATCAACCGGCTTCGATTCCCATGAGCTGCGATCAAGATTAGAACGTGAGAGGCTCACTTTGATAATATCCTGGTAAGGTAACTTCGGTTTCTCCACATGCCGCTTCCCCAAACTCAGTCGACTATATAATAGCTGCTTCGGTATCCGCGTCGAATTCATAAGCATCATACATAACCACTTATGTAAAATAGATAGAAATGCACTAGAAAACGGTCAGCGCTCATTTATCAAAATGCACATGAGGCGCTCATCATCTCTTACTTATGAGGAGCGATGTTCTCACCTCCAGCTCGATCCTCTCTGGCTTCGAGAGTAGAAAATCAATCTCACTCTTCTCTACAGCATAATAAACTCGAGTTTGCTCAACCAGTACGTTAAGGCAGCGAGAAGACAGAGGTTGCGATATGTCAACATTTCGACTGTTCTTATCAGTCGCAAACACAATACCATCGGAAACACAT